GACAGTTCCATGTCTTTTCCAGTATAAACCAGAAAAGACCACACATAGCCAGAGCTAGACTCGCATAGTTCAAACGTTTTGATTCCAAATTTTGCAGCCTTGAGGGGTATGTATTGTCTGAAGGACAAACGACCTTTCCATAGAGTCAAGGACTCGTCTATCGAAATGTTCTGGGATGGAAGATACAAATTTTGAAACTTGTTATTCAGGTGCTGAATGACTGGATAAATTTTGAAAAGTTTGGGAGGTCCTTGATATTCATTTTGCTTACTGTTATCTGCAAAATGTAGAAATTTGGTAATTATCTCTAGTCTTTCCAGAGGTAAAGTTTCAGGAAAAAACGGAGTGTACAGCAACCGGTTGTTTGCATAATAAGATCTGATTGTAGGCTTTTGAACAATGCCCATCAACATAAATAGAGCCAAAACCACGTAAATTTCGTCTACTGTGACATCTTGCCACTTCCTAATCCTAGATCGAAATGTGAGAGGATGGACACTTTTAGAAATTTCTTGCTTAGCATATCTGTTGGTTTCATCTACAATGAGCTGCACAAGAGCTGTATCGAAAATGATTTCGAATGAACTCACGACATCTAGTCCAGCCGTGTCGAACCGAGGACCATATACATTACAAAATGCTTCTCTTGAAGCAGTAAATGGTTCTATATTTTCCCACATATACTTGCCGGAAACAATACCTGAATTTGCTTCTACAATTTCTTCCTGGCTTTCGCCACCACCATTGTTACTCTCATTATCACTAATCGCTAACGTTCCCGGTGTCACCAACTGTGTATAATCAAAGTCTACACTCTCAGTGTCCGAGCTACTATAATTGTCACTTCCAATAATTCGTCTAGAAGTGCCCTTTGTTCAGCATCAAATAACACACGACTGCTTGAAGGGTTCTCCATTGTAAAACTGAGGCCAGTCGTCTATTTTTAGACTCCCAGGTAGTCCTTTAAGGGTTTGTCAACAAGGTTGCCGGATCTTCACACACAGAAAACTTTCCACAACAGAGTGCTACAAACCTCATTGCGCTGGCATTAATCGTTACAAAGTTATGAGCTGAAGAAATTAGGCTTAAAGCCGGACGTAATACTACGCACAGCTGCAATCCCCAGGATTTAAAGGCCGGGCGTAATTTTACGCCACTCGGCGGTGAGGAGTTAAACCAGGTGTTTCCAGACTTACAGCCAAAAGAATTCTGTTAAAGTTTGATATGAAAGCAGGCATTTATAAAAAGGCATTTCTGACCAGTGTAATCCTGGTAGGACTGCCTCTAATGTCAAACTACTACTGCTTTGTGAACAAAGTGTATTCTTAGGAGAAGGTCCCCATTTAATGTTGAAAGTGGGAATACATGAAACCGAAAGAGCATTTTCATCTATTCCTTAACTTTTTACAATGGTCTTTATTAGAGTGACTAACCACTGAATGCATGTTTAATATGTTCAAGTTTATTGGTTTTATTTGTATTTATTTAGAAAGGACTTCAGAGGATTTGCCAAGTGAAATTACCTTGGTAGCATCACCAGCATTGGTGAAACCTGAACACATTCCAGTCACTCCTGATGGTGAGAGTGGTCGAAGTGAAGGATCTTTACGAAACAGTACACAGGAGCCCAGCACTGATTCAGAACCCCGGGAAGGCTCTCAGGACAGTGTGGAAGATGAACCACTAACATTGGTTAGTAATCCATTAGCTGTTTTATGTCTTATTTTGAAAGGCATTCAGATTATTTGTTTGAAGAATGTTCAGTTAGATTTTTTTTTCAAGGGCTTAAGTTTGTGATTTGATACAGTCATTTAGTCAAAAGTTGGTTTAAAATTTGAAAGCTAACAAAGTGTTACGTACATTGTAAATACAGAAATAATATTGGAATTGGACTGAAGATTTCTGTCTTCTGGGTTGTGCTGTGTAGTCTGGTTGATGTTTACCAACATTTCAGAGGTCATACTGCCTCCGTCATCACAACAACCCAGAAGAAAGAAATCTTCATACTCACCGCTGTGAAAACCTCAAATCTTACATTGGAATTGGACTGTTAAGCCATAAACAATATCTATTAACAACTAAGTTGTTGTTTTTACAAATTGGCATATTTCTGCGTATAGATGTTGATGTATGAAGAATTAGAAATTATGTTCATTTGTATGACCATTTGTAATGTTCATATTCAGACATACTGCTGCAGAGTTTAAATTTAGAATGCAACTCTCTTGTACACTTACCTATGTATCTTTTTACAAATTTTAAATGAATGGGATTATTTACAAACATTTTGTAATGATCTGTAGAGGGTGCATTATTGCAGAACTCTTACTACCAATATATATGCAATGTGTTTATGTGCATGTGTGTGTATGTACGTGTGTATGCATATTTGTAATGTTGGATCGATGAGTGAAAACTATTTTGATATTAAAGCTACTGGTAACATTTTACTGTGTGTATATGTGTAGGCATGTTAAATAAATACTGAATGTCTGGTTGACTTTCATTATTATATCCTGAAATATTTTACAAATAATGTTTTGATTATGACAAATTTAATAACAGTAGAAGCTTTTTATAATATATGCTGTTCAGGATTTGAATAGCCCTCATGATAATATGGACTAAATATTTCAGAAGATTATTTAATTTCAGGAAGACACTGACTGCATTTGATGTAGGATTTGTCTGTTTAATTATGTAATGTACCCCTTTTCACCCTTACTGTAGAATGAGGAGGATAAATATGCATAAAGGTTTGTTGCAAAGATAAGACTGATATTGAATTATAAACAGCTATGTTATTACATCCTCTGACCAAATATGAAACCTTTCACAGCTATCTAGCATTCATAAGATCTGAGATATATGTTTCTTCTGATTTATAGCAAATATCACAAGACAGTAGTGCAGGGGAAGTGGACCCTCCTATAGCAGACACAGGACCATCAACATCACAGCAGTCAGCAACCCCACAAGGTAAGTAGAAACATTAACTCATTTCCACTGCTGTGTAGATGTACCACAGTACAATAAATTGTGGTAGATCTTAATACAGTAAATTCGTAGTTTGCTTTGAGATTATTGAATCTTGGTTTTCTTAATGATGACTTTTCAGCTTCATTGCATCAATTGGTATGATTTTTTTTTAAGTATGAATTGAAAAGAATGTGGAAGAAACCATTCATGGCTAATTTAAGACACTTCCCCATCATTTTCCCTGAGGAAGAACACAAAAATTCATGTCAGAATAGCTGGCCTCTGAACTGAGATTTGTACAATGGACCATGAGAATGTGAACCAGTAAACATGTCCTTTTGTAGGCTGGATTGATGTGGCTCAGGATAAAGACTCGGGACTAATTGAATGTAGTACTGAATAATTATGGTATTCACACTAAATTTATACTGTTGAGGGGTCATGCACATATTAAATGCTTGTCTCTTTTCCCCACTAATTCCAGCCCTATCTATGATGCACATACTTCTCACATCTGTGATGTATATACAGCTTTTTTAAACATTTTTAAATAGCTGAACCATCAGCTGGGATGTCTTAGTCATTATAGTGACTGTGCTATGAGCCGGATGACTGGGGTTTGGTTTCTAGCAGGAGCAGAGGGTTTTCTCTTTGTCATCATGTCTAGACAAGATGGTACTCTCTCTCAAGCTCGTGTCTTGTGGATACCTGGGCTATTTCTCCAAGTCATAAAGTGGCCAGTGTTGCACTGACACTTCCAATTATTGTCCATTCACTCCTTATTTCTAACCAAACAAACCAGTTTGTTTTCCTTCTGCATTACATTATGGTGACTAGTGCTCTACTTTACTGTATTTGACTGCTACTGTTTCAGAACAGAAATGAAATATGGAAATAAAAATTAGATAGGCAGAACTGGTGAAATGGACCTTGCCATAATGCAAGTTAAACTAGGAGACTGAATTGTAAATGAGATTGTTAAAAATTCCCAGGCAAATTGTGGAATCTAAGGTGGATATACTATGTGTATATCAGGTTCCATGGTGCAGTGAATATCTATTTTGCTGGAGTCCTATTAATTTAGTACTGGAGCTGGATTCCTGTTTGAATGATTCATCAGGAAATATACCAGTATTGCACACAATAAATTCAGTCGTCATTGCAGTGTTGTGCTTGTTTGCTTAATTTATAAAACTAGATACTGCCATATTTATTCTTCTTCTCTCTCTCTCTCTCTCTTTTATTATTATTATTATTATTAAACCTGGAAAATATGTTGTAAAATGATGCTACTCTAACTCTTCCCAGGACTATTTTCAACCTGGAATTTCAGATTTGACAGTTTTAACCTTTATTGTCAGTTAGTAAAGACACACATTCATGCCTGTGCATCTGCAGTTTTAAATAAATTGATTGTTTTTCTGAAATAAAATAGTACTGCTTCTGTTTTTTGTGCACTTTGTGCACATAATGGTTTCATCATGTTGCTGACTGCTGGTCCATTACTGTGTTGCATGCTGTTGATAGAGATAAGTAATATTTCAGTTGCAAAAAAAAGTAAATATCAGTTGTTTTACTGGCACAGATTTGTTGTAGTATCTTAATATGATTTCAGTCTTATGTATAAGAATTGGTATAATTGTATAGGATATTCTCAGGGTTAAGTCACTGTGTTTCATTTTAAACCAAAATCGTTATTCTATGCTTCAGAACAGTTTCAGCAGTTACTTTCTTTTTGTGAGTTAAGTTTCACATACTGAGCGTTAGAAAACCATTTTAGCAGTGCGTCCATTTCTGTCCCTTTACCTGCACAGACTTTATTTCTTAATCCAGAAAATCCTAACCCATTTACATGGCGCACAGATACTTCACATGTCAGTACCTATATTGGCATGATTTAATTTTTTATTTTTTTGTTGATACATATTAAAATTGGATACTACTACAATGTATCTGTGCCATGTAAATGCAATATTCCTCTTTTTTCCCTAATACCTGTTCTACTCCTCCAGGCTTACAATGGGCATTGCTGGAGCATGGTTATCCCCGGTTTGCTCTGTCGTCGTGTCAAGCTAGTCTGTCAGTTCAGGCTTCATCTGCCTTCTGTGCTCCAGAGCCCCCTCCCAACCCAGGAGTTGTTCGAAGGGATATCCCTCAATATGCTGGGCATGCATACCAACCACATCAAATGCTGCCAATGTCCTCCTGTGCTGTTATGAGTGCATATGGACCTCCTTCTGCAACACCTCCCAGCCCATGTCCTAGCTCATGTCCAAGCCCTTGCCCTAGCCCATGTTCAAGTCCAGTTTTTATATCAGCTGGCTCAGGACAAAATTCTCCATCTCGTCGAAAGCGCAGTATTAATCCCCAGTCAGAGGAGAATTTCTTACGAGCACTGGAAGCTGTTCGTTATGGAGGTATTGGATTCTGCAAGGCTGCCCGCATGTATGGTGTCAACAACCGTACTCTTTGGCTTGAATATAAGAAGCGTGGGTACCCAGTAACTCGACCCAGTCTCAAGGCACGTATGAAACAAGATCTGCCTTCATCTATGCCACCTCCAGCGTCTAATCAGATGGAACTTTCTCCAAATGTAACTGCAACTTCAGTTATGGGTCCTCCACCACCTGCAACAAGCATGCAAGTTGGAGGATTTTTGGATTCACATCATGTTGAATTTACACATCCTCAAGGACCTCCAGCCCCTTCAAGACAAAGGCCACAAGATAATGCCAGCAACTTGAGCAATTCATCAGCAAGCACTCATCATGGAATTAATAGTAATTATAATCAGATATGAAAGTGATGAAAGAAACTGGGTTTTGTGCTTTCAGTGGTGTAGCTTCGTACTGGTTATGTTTTAATATCAGATATGAAAAGATGTAAAGGTGTATGACAGTGTATCATAGTCCTTTGATATGAAATAATATGTTTTATTATATATTAGATCTGATAATTATATAACTAGACTGATGATACGTGCAGCAACTCATAACACTGGTGAGGTGGCATGTGTTGGTTCTCATGACTGCATGATTCACCAGTTCAGTTTTTGGAACCAATTTTGTTTTGTGGTTGTGGTAAGCCACAGTGATTTGATAGATGATTATTTATTAGAACATAGAATTAACATTAAATTTTCAGTTGAAACTAGATAAAAATTCCACTGATATTTACATAAAGTTTTTGGAGAAGGAATAACTTCGGATCTTCCAGTATGACCCGCAAACAAAATGCATACATTTCCAGTGGAAGTCCAGAGGCTGTGAGACTGAAAAGGGTGTGAATTCCAGAATTAATGGTCAAATCATGGTGGTCTGTATTTTTTATATGAAAGGAATGTGTTTATCATTAACAAGAAGTCTGCCAAGCATTCTAATTTCAAGTTTGGAATTCTTATAGCAGCTTATTTAAAAAGAAAACTAAGTCTTTGGCAATGCAAATGAATTTTGCATCATGGTAATGTGTTTTTCCACATGGCACTTTTCAGTAAAGTGAGTTTTGACAAAGAAAAAAATACCAGTATCAGAATATCCACGATACTTTCCTGACTTTTTCATGTTCCTGAAGGTAAACATGTATGTAAAGTTAAAGTGTTTAAGTGTGAATCCTTGAATATGCACTGAGCAATGTTTCCAGACAAAGCAGATGTGTTGCAATACACGTGTAAAGTTAGAAGGCAATTATTTTGAAGTTAATCACATCCTTTACGGGTAATGCACTTACATACATTTAGATCTGTTACAGATTCAGTTTGGTTATTTAATTGCCAGACCTGGATATGTGTTTTATGTTTGAGTCTGGCCTTAAGTAAAATGTTTGCTGTTGCAAAAGCTTTTAAATGCTTCCTTGGGAACTGAAGCTTGTTATGTTCAGTAAAAAGTTGAAAATAAAGGTAATACTTGGAATGTTCATCGGCCATAGCATCATTGTTTGGAAATGAAGATTATGGAGGCCTCTATATTTAGTTTTATTCTATTAGACATATTTTTACTGGGTGTGTGATCTTGAGACACCAGATATGTCTCTTTGGTAGTTCTGTGCTGAATTTACTGACAGTAGGTAATACATAAACACATGGTAGAAATTTTAAATAAAATAATATTTATTATCAGTGAAGACTATCTTATATAACAGTCTTGCATAATAGACTATAGGCTTTTGAAACTTTTAAGAGAATTACTTCTGAATTGCACAGTTTGTATAGTTTAATGATAAAACATAAGAAACTTGTTTAATTATGCATTCATGTTGTTTTGAAGTTCATAAGAAAAAGAAAATATGAATAAAAATGACATGACAATTTTAAAATATCAGGTTCATTTAAAATATGGTTTTTCTCTAAAAGTGCATCCAGATGACTCAGGCTCATGCTTGCGTGCTATCTAATGTGCCTCCATAAATGTGGACAGTTTCACAAGCCCAAGCTCAAACTAGAGCCATGGGGTGAAAGGGTTTACTACAGTATCTGCAGACACCTGGCAACAATGGCCTCGAGTCTCTGCACCACAAGCACAGGCAGTCTTGACCAACCTCTACAGGCTACTTATTTTCCCAAACTTATCAGCCAACAATACATCTAAGTACAACATTGTGATTTTTGCTTTCTGAACCATGTGCTAGCTAAAGAAGTATCTTTCTTGTATGTAATGCTAAGAACATTTTAGAACTTTTCCATGCTTGAAACAAAACAAACAAATTTGTACTTTCAGTCATTTATTGTTTTATGCATGTTTTTATGACATATATTGGATGTAGCATGGTTGGATCATAAGAGAAAGCTGTTTCCATGACGCAGATGTGTGTTGTACGAGGCGCGTCCCAAAAGTAAGTTTCCCACTCGTCCCACAGCTAGCAAACCTTATATTGAGCGAAGCGACTGTGCGTACGTGATAGAGCAATGACGTAGCATGGCGCATGCACTAAAGGCACTTCCCGCGTTCTCACAGTAGCATTGTTGTAGCTGTTGAAGATTGAGGTTCTTATTCCAGCTCCCGCCG